TTCCCTACTACCGGGAGAACAAGCAGGGCTGGCAGAACTCCATCCGCCACAACCTCTCCCTCAATAAGTGCTTCGTCAAGGTGCCCCGCCACTACGACGACCCGGGCAAAGGAAACTACTGGATGCTAGACCCCTCCAGCGACGACGTCTTCATCGGGGGCACCACCGGCAAGCTTCGCCGGCGCTCCACCACCTCACGGGCCAAGCTGGCCTTCAAGCGGGGCGCCCGACTCACCTCCACCGGACTGACATTCATGGATAGGGCAGGATCCTTGTACTGGCCTATGTCCCCCTTTCTCTCCCTGCACCACCCCCGGGCCAGCAGCACTTTGAGTTACAATGGGACCACCTCCGCCTACCCCAGCCATCCCATGCCCTACAGCTCAGTGTTGACTCAAAACTCCTTGGGAAACAACCACTCCTTTTCCACGTCTAATGGGTTAAGTGTTGATAGACTAGTCAATGGAGAGATACCTTATGCCACTCATCACCTCACAGCAGCAGCTCTGGCCGCCTCAGTGCCGTGTGGCTTGTCAGTTCCCTGCTCCGGCACCTATTCCCTAAACCCCTGCTCTGTCAACCTCCTGGCAGGACAGACGAGTTACTTTTTTCCCCATGTTCCTCACCCTTCAATGACTTCTCAAAGCAGCACTTCAATGACGGCCAGGGCAGCCTCCTCCTCCACGTCGCCACAGGCGCCCTCCACTCTCCCTTGTGAGTCCTTAAGACCTTCTTTGCCAAGTTTTACAACGGGACTTTCCGGAGGACTTTCCGATTATTTCACACATCAAAATCAGGGGTCTTCTTCAAACCCTTTAATACATTAACATCCATGGGATCAGACTGTAAGTGAACATTTTACACACGTTTGCATTGTAAATGATAATTAAAAGGAGGAAAAAAAAGCGCAAAACAAAAAAAGTCCAGGTATTTTTTATTAAGTCCCCCATTTTCTGTACGTTTGTTCAGTCTTTAGGGTTGTTTATTATTCCACCAAGGTGAGGATGTCAGCAAGGTGCAATGTGGGGAGATTGCATTGTAGACTATGAAGTTTGGAAGACAAAATTATAGTAGAATGTGTATCTAAATAGTGACTGCTTTTGCAATTTTTTATTCAAATACGATAAGTCTATCACTAAAAGCCGCCAGAATCTCCATGTTTGCAGTATTATAAGTTACCATGGATATGTCGGTGGGTGCAGACCTTGAAAGAAAGAAAAAAAAAGCAACAAACCACACAACTAAATTTATGAAAATATAAAAAACTTAAAACGTAATTTGTATTTAAGCAGAATTAATACTGAAAGATGCCCAAGATCTACGTTTTGGCGATTTATTATTTTATAATTTTCTTTACTGAACAGCTTTTTTGGGTTCTTTTTTTTGTTGTTTGTTTGTTTGTTTACTTTTAGACCAAAGATTGGGTTTTAGAAAATGCACTCAGTGTACGGAGTAATTTAAAAAAAAAAAAAAAGCAACATTATTTCAGTTTGCAGCATTGCCCGTTCAAATTAATCAGAAGGGGAGAAAATTAATGATTGCCTTCAGTTTGTGTTGTGTATATTTTGATGTATGTGGTCACTAACAGGTCACCTTTATTTTTTTTCTAAATGTAGTGAAATGTTAATACCTATTGTACTTATAGGTAAACCTTGCAAATATGTAACCTGTGTTGCGCAAATGCCGCATAAATTTGAGTGATTGTTAATGTCGTCTTAAAATTTCTTGATTGTGATACTGTGGTCATATGCCCGTGTTTGTCACTTACAAAAATGTTTACTATGAACACACAGAAATAAAAAATAGGCTAAATTCATATATACTTGATAGTTTTTTTGTCTTCTTTATTAAGTAAAATTAATATGCCAGAGGCTTTAAAGTTACAGGGAGATCAGAGCGCTACTTATTACAGTAGTCCACCATTTTTCACATGCTCCTTTCTACCCCCCACCCCGCCTCCCCCCGCGATCATGTTGTCTTTAACAGCAGTTTCTTCAAATGTAAAGGATCGGAGTGTTTAATTCAACACCACGATCATTATTGCGATGTGATTTTTTGGGGGCAGAACTCTTACCAATTCTGCTTAAAAAAATTGTTAGTACGAGACAGGGTGTCTTACTAAAAACTCTCTTACGTTGAAGATGTCTGAAATTGCCTACATATATACATATATATGCATATTTATACATACATGTAAATTTAAGTATATTTTTACACATTAGAAGAAAAATAAGGTACATTATTGCGTAGATACGAGTCGTTCTTGCAATCTCTGAAATGCATTCAAAGACTTATTTTTCTGAAAGATATTAATTTGAACTCTACGTACTCTATGTGTGCGTATATACATACTAGCTTTCATATAATCATTTGGTCACATTTAGCCAGCTATGATAGGTATGTGCATAAAATGCAATCCTTATTTTAAAAGAACACAGTTCTGGAAGTATCTATACTATATGTATTTATATACTTTTAATGCTGCAAACACTTTGGCTTTAAATATCCTAAGAGTAGCGATAGTTTTTTAGCTCCCTCCCGTGCCCCTGTCGCCCTGCGGCCGAGGAAAGAGCCGGGCAGGGCTAAGGTGCAGCTGCAGCACATTGAGGGCTGGTGGGGAAAGGGGGGTTGGTGTCACGTGACGCCCTGGCTTGCATACCGATGTTTAAACGTTGGGGGGGAGGAAGAAAAGAAAAGAAAAAAAATAACCAAACCTGTGTGGATGCACTTAAAATTTTGAAATTGAGCTCTTTTTCCTTCTCTGTCTGCCGGTGGTGGTGCTTGCTGAAGCCTAACCCACGCGAGCCTCCCCAAACACGCTCCGTTGCCCGGGGAATCAGTCAATTTGTTTTAAGGGGGCAACGCTACCACTAATTTTAAGAAGCCTTTAAGCCTAAAAAGAATTGGTTTCTTGACGAGTTTAGGGAAGCCTATAAAAGCCGCAACTCTTGAAAATAATTAGAAAACTTGTGCAAAAGATTTAGGAACTAATTGGATCCCGCGGCGAGTCCGCAAAGGACAAGTTGTTCATTTGTTACGTTTGTGTAGCCTAAACTGGGCTCTGCAGCAGTGCCATAAGCCGGCCACTGCTCACAATAGGCCAAATGATAAATAATCTCTAGCCCGGAGATGTTATCTCAAACACTTTAAAGAGCTGATCTTGGAAAGAGAAAAGAGGAGAAAAAAGGAAAATAAAAAATAAAAAAGAAAAAATTGCTGGGGAGTGAGTAAAGAAGCAAGAACAAATCTGAATTTTTGCAAACAGAGTATTTATCATGCTGAAAAAATAAAGGGAGAGAGGTGAAATCTTTCGAAAAGAAGTAATAAATAGATGCAAGTAGATCTGCAAGAAAGAGAGGAGTGAAAGGTTACGGATGAGAGATGGGACATCCAGCTCTGCGCTATGTGGGGGAGAAGGAGAGAAATCTCTGATATTCTTGGCTTTCACTCTCACTTCTGTATTCAGAATTAATCGTCAGTATGAGAAAAAGGTTGCTTTGTTTGGGGATAAAGAGATGATACCAGAACTTGGAAGTGCCTACCCTCCCCTATATTCTTCACTCTATTGTCATTAAAAGAAGTGATCGCCAAAAAAAAATCCATGCTAAAAAAACCACAACCAATCCTAAAAATAAAAACTCATTTGTAACAATCCTAGCTGAAGGAAAAAAAAAAAGAAATAAGTGTGATTTAAATTCCTAAAGCCTCGGGACACCATTCTGTACACTTGTGTGGAAGTAAATTAAAAGAATGAAATCTGCTGCGGCTGACAAAGGAAATTATTTATTTTTTACCACTTGCAATTGGTTGTACAGTGTAGGAATTCCAATAGCAGACATTCAAAGTATTATTTAGTTCGCAATGTAAAAAAAAAAAATCCTCTGTCAGTGTACTAAAAGGAGGAAAAAGACAAGTCAGGTTGGAGGAAAGCACAGTCTTGCCATGTCAGAGTTTGGGGTTGGCTAATAAGCATTAATTAGATAAGCGTGATGCATAATAATTCCTGAAAAGGGTAGCCATGGTGTATGTCTCTCCAGACTTCGTTTAGGCAGGCACTCGCTCTCAATGTCCCTTTAGGCTCAGGCCTGCCTGAGCACTTCAGGTGCCATAGACTTCTCCCTCCTTCTCTTGCACTGGGGGAAAGGGGTGGTTGTTGAGCTTGTAATTTATTATCGTAATTTATTCACGTTTACATACACATATTATCAGCAATGAGGCTGTCGTTGCAAGGGAAAAAAAAATGCGAAAGTTGTCCTGGATTGTAGCAGGACTGCCAAGGCCTCAGATATGTCTTTACCTAATATGCCTGCTTCCCAGCCAAAGAAACCCATTTGTTCACTGAGGATGTCTTTTAGGCTCATCTTTGCACAGACTCTCCGGAACTGAGTGTGAGGCAGTGGTTTTGGTTGGGTTTTCTAATTCTTCCTTCTTTCCCTTCCCCCTCCTTTTTTTTCCCTTTCTTTTTAAGCAGGCAATAATTCTGTTATTTGATACTTGCTTCCATGGTGGTTTCTATGTCAAATCCTCAAGCTAGGCTTTTAGGTTTTGTGTTGGTTTTTTTTGTTTGTTTTGTTTCGGTTTGGTTTATATATGTATATACACATCTGTAGAATACGGCAGTGTCTTAGCATTGTTTCTTTAACGTTTCCTAATTTAGAGTGTTTATGGGGGACGGGCGGTCTTTATAGAATTAAGGAGCTATTGTTATTTTCCTAGTTCGTGTTTGAGGTGTTTAACTTTGCTCACATAGATCGTAGGAGAAAAAATTCTGCTCATCAAGAAACCTCGTATTACACTTTTAAGATTGCCTTCACAAACGTTTGCGGGATAACAAACCATAACTCGAATTCACAATGGGATATTTAGCAAAACAATTTTTGACATATTTCAAATACTTTTCTTTTGTTTCAGCAAAATAGCACGTTATATGGAATGTATTCTTACGAAAGCATTTAAAAGAAAGTGAACAATAATATATTTTGTCTTAAATGGCACAAAACTGCCGTTTGGGGGAGTGATAATATTTTTAATCCAGTACTTGGAAAAAACAACAACAACCCAGTTTAACCAGGACGTCATGTTGCTCTTTATAACTTCTTCTGATGATTATTAAGATTTATGTCAGAAATTATGATTCAGGTACACACCCCCTCACCACTTCTGTTAATATGAAGTCTCAATCACCACGTATTCACTACTCACTCAAGCAAAACTCCCACTGAACTCCGGTTACGTTTTGACTGAACCACATCAGAGTTTTGCTTAAGAACTAGCAAACTAGCATTGGGCAATACTCACTGTTTTAGCAGTGATTATATTTTTAATTGTTCATATTTTCCCTTAGGACGGGGGGGGGGAAGTTTGCCTACAGATAGTCACTGCTGTGTACTTAATTGTACAGTCGCAAATAATAAACCCGCCCAAGAGAGTATATGGGAATACGTACTACACGACTACAAATTCCACAATAAATATGTATACATACATGTGGACACAGACAACCCTACAGAGACGCCTAGCCGTGCACTAGTGTCTGTAGTAGCTTCTCGGCAGTTTTGTGCACTGAAATGTTCTTGTTTTGAATACCCTCTCCTCCCCGCCCCGTGGTGAAGGTGCCAGGGTAAATGGATCAAAAAGTATTGGAGAACTGGGTTAGGAAGAGGTGAAGGTGAAGATCATTAGAGGTTTTAGAGCTGGCTGTGGCTGTTTTGCTGGGTTTGTGTGACTGTGCCCAGAGGGCGGAGTTCCTGCACATTCCTACCTCACCGGAGAACCTGCCCTCAACTCCACTGCAGCTACTCCAGAGAGATGGGACCCTCCAGAAGAAACCTGCTTAACAATCTTAGAGAGTCTTCCCGCCAGAAGGGTAGGTGCTCTTCAAGAAAACCTTCCCTGC